TACTGACCCAAAAGAAGAGGGAGACTGAACATTTGGACTAGTTAGCAAGAGAAGTGAGGGAATCAGTAACCAGTAGAAGATGAAATAATAATGATTAGGAGAACCATGTAACTTATAGACAAAGAATATGAATGCCTTTGATTGCTAAAGTGTATAAATAGTAAAAAGTGTTGACAGTGGGAGTACTTGTTTTGTGGAATACCAGCGAGCACCCAGGCTTGCACAGCTCTGAAATAAATGATCCAGGTCTCTCTCGATCATGTAATTATCATGTAATTACACACCAGGTAACAAATCCAATTTTTCTGAGCAGCATTTCCCCTGGGCTGGTTCTGAGGTGGCTGCACCTCAGGGACATGGCCGGGTTAGGAGCAGGCAGGGCACAGGCTTGGAGGCCCCCGAGGCGGCAGTGGGGTCGCAGGGATGTTGTGACTGGGGAGAGGCCGGGGCTGCAGCCCCATGAGCAGGTTGCCAGGCGGATGGTGTGCTGGGGGCTCTGGCTCTGCGTGTCCCAAGGGGGTCTGTGCTCAGGATCCTGGAACTGCCAGGCCAGGCCTGTAGACTGCACAGCACAGAGTCGGCAGCCACGCCCCAAGTTACTGCCTTGAATTTCTGACAATGCACAGCAGCTGCAAGTGCTGCCTGAAAGCCTCAGTGAGGAGGGAGAGAAATCGCTCGTGCAACACCTCTGTTTCATACATGCTTTCCTGCAGAAAAACGCTGGGGTTTACTCCTTTTTTATTCCTTTTTTGATGATAAGGACTGATGGCAGATGCATGGCATTTCTTTTAAAGACACAAGTTTTAAACTTCACAGTTAGTGACAAGCACACTCAATCAAGTCTGCAAACTGCTTTTAGCTGCTACAATACACCTTAGTTAAAGGAAATATTGATGAAGCTGTAATATGTCCAGTCACAAAACAGAGGTGCAATAGGATCTCTGGTCCCAGCATCCTCCAAGTGAAGCTCAGGGGAAAGCCAAATCCTAATCTGTCATTCCCATCTAACCAGAACCTGCATGCTTTTCCTAGCACTTCCCAGAACAAATACATCACCCACTGTTTGGGCTAAACTTTCATCATTTTCCAGCAGTTCTTAGGAATGCCAGAACCAGAGAGTCCTTAGGCATGTAAGTAGCATCAAGAAGTCAATTAACATCCTGGGCGTGAGTGTCAACAGTAAGACTTTATTTCAGGCGTTCTCTTCAGTAATTTAAGAGATCGAGATTTTGTGTTGTCCAATCTACTCCCTCATCAGTGAACTATTCCATTTTCTGGTATGCTCATATAGATTTCCCTTAGAAGTGTTGGCAGTAGGCTCAAACCAGTTCTGTAGCTAAGGAAAGAGAGATCAAAAACCTTTCCACTCTTTTCATTCATTTCCTTTTGCCACTATCAGCAAACACAATGAAATGAGAGTTTCTGTGGCTTTAGGCTGCTGCTCAGTAGAAAATTGCCAGCACTTTGGGTATATCTTCCTCTGGTGTTGGTGGTTTCCTCTGGCTGCCAGGCTGCAGGAATTTCTTTATTGTGGGGATATTGCTTATTCTTGCTTTAAAACGCTACAAAACAAAACCAAAACAGCACTGTGCTTAAGAAGCATTGTAACTGTCAGACATTTTGATGTTATCCAACCTCTAAAAGTGACTTCTCACCCTCCCATTCTCCCCTGTTTCTCAGCCAGTTTAAATCAGCAGTCCTTTCTAGATCATTGTCCATTAAAACTGTCCATTCATTTACCTGCAAGAGAGGAAATTTGGCAAGTATATCAGGCCTGAACTCTTCTGCCATTAAAATGGTGTCAAGTAACTGCACATCTGCCCTGCTTAACTGGTTGCCAACAAGAAAGTCTTGTCCATGGTCTTTCAAAACCTAAAAAGAGAGAAGCAGATGATTTTTTTCTCTCTGTTGCTTAATATGGGATCTTCAAAGCAAGGTCACACACTGCACAGAGTTGTCCTTGAAAGAAGGAAATGCAGAACAAACACCTGTAGCACAAACAAATCTAGCCATGATTTATCAGTCCCTTCTTTTCTGCATTTCTTTCTGCCAGCTCAGCTGTACTCCTCCTGTCTTCACTTCTGGAGCTTAAGTAGTCGATGCCACTGCACTGAATGCTAAGCTTCATGA